AGGAGGAGGGAGGAGGAGGAGGAGAGGAGGAGGAGGAGGAGGAGGGGAGGAGGGGAAGGGAAAAGGAAGGGAAGGGGAAGGGAAAGGGGAGGGAGGAGGGGAGGAGGAGAGGAATAGGAGGAGGAGGAGGAGGAGGAGGAGGAAGGAGAGGAGGAGGAGGAGGAGGAGGAGAGGAGGAGGAGGAGATGAGGAGGAGGAGGAGGAGGAGGAGGAGGAGGGGAGAAGGAGGAGGAGGAGGAGAGGGGAGGAGGAGGAGGAGGAGGAGGCGGAGGAGGAGGAGGAGGAGGAGGAGAGGAGGAGGAGGGAAGGGGAAAGGAAGAGAGGGCGGAGGAGCATGGGTGCTCCAGTGAGCCGGGCTCCAGACGGCGCGACTGCCAGCGGCAGGCTGCCGCGCTCGGGTCGTCCTCGGGCGGTCTCCTTCGCAGCGTCGGAGGCCTTCCTGGTCTCGGGAGCGGCCAAGAGGGGGGTGTCCAAGAGGGGGGGGTGCAAATCATGACTGGCGGCATGTGCGCGGCCCAGCGGGGGGGCCAGGGACGTAATGAAACAAGAAGAGGCGCCATGAAATCTGGGGAGATATCATGGCCCCCGCCATGATATCCACCCCCCCTAGTCATCACCCCCCTCTTCTTCGTCCCCGATGGTCTTGTGGCCGAAGCAGGCGGTGCCGCTCCGGGAACGGGAGGTCGGAGCCCGCAGCTCCAGGCACGCGTCGCAGATGAGGACGATGCGGGGCGGGAGCTCGCGAAGGCGTCGCCGTCGCAGGAGAAGGTGGGGGAGGCGAGCTTCGGAGAGAGTCCGTGGTCCTCCCTGCCTCGACGACTCGGCGGGCGCAGCGCGCAGCGCGCACGGGCGGGCCTCCCGTGGAGCCCACCGTGGGCGACGACGTCGCGCAGGGAGGAGGATGAGCCCGAGGATGAGTCGACTTGCCACGTGGGTCGGCAGAGGATTCTGCCGACCAACATTCGAGCACGGAGGACGGATGGGGGGAGGGGAAGGAAGGGGTATGGTGGGGAGGGAGATGAGGGGGGGTTGGATGGAGGGTGGAGGGGAGATGGGAGGGAGTACGAGAGACGGAGGGGCAGAGAAATATCAGGGCTTCCATGGAGAGGAGGAAGAGGATGGGCAGGGCGAGCGACTCGCAGAATTTTGCTTGCTTGGGCGACCAATCCTTCAGAACCCGTGCGAGAGCAATAGCTGGCCAGTCAACTGGCCTCTGCAGAATCGCTCAACGCTGACTTTTGCCGTCCCAGTGCGAGTTCGGTATATTAGCAGAGTTCCTGTTTTCAGAATCAGCATGTGGGGACGGAAGACACAGCCGACTCCCCAGAGGAGAAAGCGTTTATATTTTTTCTTGTGTCTCCTGGAACGTCTTCGTCTCCACAGCGGGATCCGCCCCGACATTATGGCACGAACGCGTCCATGGCCATGCGTGAGGGTCGAACCTTGAGGGAGGAACCACGAGGCGGAGAAGATGGGGAGGAGGAACAACATGGGGGAGGAACACATGTTTTTTCTTTCCAAAAAAAAACATCAGCCGTGACGCAGCCCAACTGCGTGCAAAGAGGTGGGCGATGTCTCCACAGGGAACTGGAGAGCCATTCAAATCAGACAAGACACAGACAGGACAAACCCCAGATGGAGGGGATAGTGCCCTGAGTTCGGGAGCCTCAAGCCACACGACGAGGCTCCGTCCCCGTTGCACGGAGGTGGCTCGAGACAGGAGGAACAGATGGAGGAGGAGGAGGAGGAGGAGGAGGAGGAGGAGGAGGAGGAGAAGAAAGAGAAGAAAGAGGAGGAAAGACGACGAAGACGCGAACACGAATGAACGCCTAGGGTGCACAGAGCCGGCTTCGTCGCCCTCGGTCGACGTAAGTACCCACACATCAAGCCACGATTCGCGCTCGCCCAAGACGAATCCTTATTTCTTATGAACCATCATTTCTTCAATCCTAGCACTCCCCAAATACATTTCATCTTCAATCCTTCTCTCTTGTCAATCTTTACCCCCGCATGGCTATACTCCATTGCCCGGCCATGTGGGGCCGAATCCCTTGCCCTCCATCCTGCTCATTATTCGAAGCAAATGCAGCGTGAACGTTCTCCCTTTTCACGTTGATGTTTCAATCGCGACCTTCCAAAATTCGTGGCAAGAGTGTGACTGGGCACGCGTCCCGCGCGAGAAGGGTCCCGCGCGCAGGGATGACATTTCGCTCTCGCTTCGGCAAGGAGCCCATCTTCCGAAGAATACAGTATCCACTCCTGGACGTGGCGCACGTTTTTTTTTTTTTTGTTGTTTGTTTCCCCCCCCCCCCCCCCTAGTCCATCCGTCGACAGCGGGGTCGCGCGCGATCGAACGAAATGCCGCTCTCGCCGCGGCGCCGCGGCTGACAGTGGTGCTCTCGCTTGGGCGCGGCGCGCGCCCCGCACTCGCCAGGTCGTCGAGGGCGGGACCTCGCGCGAGAGGGCGCTCTGCCGCCCTCGCACACGAGGCTCTGTGCGCATCCCTCGCCCGGAGGTGGCGCTCCCGCCTGGGCGCGGCGCATGGCTCCTCGCTCGCCACATCGGCAGGACAGCGGCAGCGGCCGCAGGGGCGCGGGAGAACGGACGTCGCAGGGGGGCATCCAAGAGGGGGGGGCGCAAATCATGGCCGGCTGCATGTGCGCGGCCCAGGGGGTGTGCCAGGGACGTCTTGAAATCCGCCGATCCGGCGTGTGAGTTTATGAGAGCGTGGGCTTGAGCTCGCTCAAGCTTCGCTCTGCGGGGGGGGGGGGAACCTCATTTCCGACCCTTTTAATTCAG